ATTAAGTTAGACCAATCCTCGTGGGAACGATACTCGATATTTTACTATTTCCACTTTATTACTTGTCATCGAACCGTACATTTGCGGTGATTCAAACTCGAAACATATTTTCGTGAACACAACAGACTGTGAATCATAAACCAGTACATGTATAGCCGAAAATATCGAAGCTTTATCGACATGGTATCCAAATTTTTCTGGTAGCTTCTTAATAATATGCCACAAACACCATCTATGCTTCGTGTTTGGAAAAACTATTTGAATTGCATTTTGCATGGCTCTATCTTGGTCGGTAATAATTCCATGTGGAGCTTGGCCACGTATGCACTGCAGCCATGTCCTAAACAACCAGACAAATGTATCTGTGTCCTCATTCGATACCAGTCCACAACCTAACAATGTTGATTGCCCGTGATGATTAACTCCAACGAAAGGGGCAAATGGCATGTCATACTTATTAGTGAGGTAGGTTGTGTCGAATGTCACGACATCCCCGAACTCCTTATATGCTTGCCTACACCGATTGTCTGCCCAGAACACATTCTTTAACCGCGAATCATCATCCAAGTCAATACTAAAGTAAAAACCCGAGCACCGTGCTTGCATTTCAGAAAAGTAAGACTGTATTGTAGCTGCATCACCCTCACCAAGTCTTAGTCATCTCACTTGTTCAATATAGTTACGACAATCCTTTTCGATGCACGTCATATTCTCGTAGCGACTTGATTCAACAACTGCAGAGTTGAAACTTTTATGCAACGGTATTCCCGCTATATCATTCACTTCGAGCTTTCGTTTCACATGTGCACTCAACACGCGGTTGCACCGATACAACCTCGACTTACTAGGACTTGTCTTATGATTGTGGTCAAGGTGGACATTGTTTATTTTCCAATAACCATGAATATCTAAAGATGTAGATATTCTAGCTTTACAGCCCGTCTGCATTGTTGCTTGCGGCTTCAAACAAGTGCTTGTATTGCCGCTTTTTTGTCCCTCGCGACTACATGTGAACGTGACATATCTCAAAACACCATCATAACCCTTCGTCGAACTCCTCTTCCTAACTGGAAAACCTACGTCATAAGCGTATTTCGCATAAAAACCAAACACTTCTTTCTCATCCTTGAATTGCATACCAACCTTAGGCACAATCAAGCCATTTCCTCCTTCTCTTTCACCTTCCACAACATTCACATTGTCCTCAACATTATCATTTCCGAAATCAACGAGCAATTCATTTTCCATATTCTTTTCTCCTACAACAGTGCCCAATAAATCACAGGCTTCACAGAATTGCTTCAATAGAGCCCTGAAAAACAAAGCCTCTTTCATTATAGAATAACAATGAAAAACAGAGCCTCTTTCAACCATTTCTGATGGAATCACACAGTATTACTTGCATTACTCTTACAGCTATATAGAACTAACAATCAAACTCACTTCAACAAATGAAAAACTGAAAAAACCACACATGACTGTCAACACTTGACAAAGTGAAAAATCAACAGCAGACCTAAACATTTTCGTCTATCTGAAAAATTGGCAGCATACCCAAACATTTCATAGCTTCAATTTCGTGGAATATACCTTACGGAGGATGAATAAACTGCCGGATACTGAGATCACACTTCACTGTCAAAGCTGCACACCTACACGATTATCAGAGGCCAAAAATTCAGACATCGACGATATTGCTGGGTTTCTTGCCTCAGCATACCCGAACATTTGATAACTACAATTTCACGGCAGGTACCTTGCGGAGGATGAACGGACGCGTCAAGGAACAGTTGGAGGCTTGGATCGAGCTTGACTGTTGAAGCGGCTGGGATTATCAGAGACGGAGATCAGACTTCTTGCTGTGTTTCTCGCCTTTCTTCTACAAGATAAAAGTGTGGGTGTGTAAAATCCGACGGGATTCGCGGTATTTTTCTTCCTCACGAAATGAGCTTCGCGCCTGAAGATTGTAGATCTTTTCATTGATTTACCTCCAGTCGTGCTTTGATGCCCAAATTTTCATTTACCATTGTTAGCAAATCCCAGCCGTCCGTTGCCTTCTAATCCTAGCCGTCCACGTCACTTTGTAAGCCCACTTTGTCATCCCTCTTTGTAGGAGTAGCATTACTCAGTTCGTTGATCATAACATGACAGTAAGCAAAGTTCGATTAGTAATTAAATTTTTTACTCAGAATATTGCGTAATATAAATAATATTAGTTTTTATTCTTAATTATTAATGTCACAAGCACCTTATGTGCATCTTCACGTTTTTTGTTTTTTTAAAGATTGGATTTCAATAAATCATCATGTCTTTTATTTGATAGATTAAGGGCATGTTTGAGATTTGTATTTATTTTATTTAATTTTTTTTTAGGAATTTTGACTATTTTGGGATGACACCATTTGTGAGATATTGAAAAAATCGATGCTTGTTTGTTTTTTCAAACATTGATTTTGGGTTATTAGTTTAATTTGGGGCTTATTCCAAAACCCCAAATCGATGTTTTTGACCGTTCTTTAATTTTTCTTCCAATTTTATCATATATAGAACAATTATTTACAATTCACATATTTTTTTTCAAAAATAACTTGTAATAATAATAATTAAGAAATTTCTTATAAGCAAAAAATTACTTATAAGATTAATTTCACTTTATACTTAAAAAGTGTTTATAAGTACAAAATTAACTTATAGCCTAAAATTTACTTATAAGTATTTCATATAAATAAAAAATTTAATTATAAAGATTTCAATTTTTAAGTTAAATTAACTTATATGTAAAAAGT